TAGGCTCCACCACCTATAATCGTGGCACAATATACTCATAAGTCCTTAGCCCTATAAGACACTCCATAACCCACAAGTCAAATCCTGATCAAGGTAAAAGTCCTCGGTCAAGGTCAGCAGTCCATGTTGACCTCAACTCGTCGAGTACACCCGGCTACTCGCCGAGTCCTTGAAGCACATTCCAACTCGCCGAGTCATCGGGGTGACTCATCGAGTTCCTTCGAATCCCGATCAAACCTTCAGGCCACCCATCGAGTTTCCTCCTTGCGACTCGATGGGTATACACGCAAACATATCTTTGGCTAAAACCCATACGACTCGTCGAATTTCATGACCATCTTCATCCAACTCGCCGAGTTGTTCAACCAACTCGTCGAGTTCATGGATTCCTTCATCTGACTCACTGATTTATTCATCCCACTCGCCAAGTTTAATGCACATCTTCATATGACTCGCTGAGTCGGCTTTGCGACTCGCCGAGTCCCTTCAGTCAATTTAACATGTAGACGACTTTACGCCATGACATGGCCGCAAATGGCATCTCTAACTTCCTTAGGCCTGCTTATCATGTAAAGTTGCAAACTTTATGTGCTTGCATTGCTTTACAAGCTCTTAATGTCAAAACCAAACTTTTAATGGGTGTTTATGGACCAAGGGGACCTTAATCTTAACTTACGCTGGAACTTTATGCTTGAGTAATTCGGAAAAGGGCCATATCTGAAGTTACAACTTCAGATCTAGTCCATGGATTGCAATACCAACTTGATACCCTTATAAAACCCTAAAACTCATTCGAAGATGAGGTCTTAAACTAAAATAACTGAGGGTAACGGTTAAATACCTTCCCAGAGATGTCCACAGAAGTAGAATTCGGATCACCTCTCTGCTCCTGGCCTCAATCACTTGTTTTCCCTAACCTCTTACATCAAAATTCTTCTCTCAAAGCTTCAACACACAACGACTCACACACACACGACTTAGAGATGCAAAGGAAGTCAGAGAGGCTTGAGCTTCGTTAAATAGGGGTGCAAACCCCGGGAATTTGGGTTTTACTTTCCAGCTCCTACTCGTCGAGTCCCACAAAGGACTCGCCGAGTAGATCACTTAATTCGCGATCCCACTTGCTGCTACTCGACGACTAAGGCAACCAACTCGTCGAGTATGGCCAAAATCCAAAAATACATTATTTAAAGTATTACCTGAGAGTCGGGATGTTACACCAACATTCATGAAAACTTACCAAAAGACCTTATAAGATATGATAGCTCTAAAAAAAATTTGGATTACTTTTCTATTCTGTATATTATTTTTCTTTTATTTTCTAAAATTAAATACACTTAAATCAACAATATCATATTACAGAATATAAAAATCACCATTGGTATTTTTATTTCAGTTTATGTGTAATGTAAATGAAGTTTAATTTTTTTTTTTTTTTGGTAATTTAATTTAACTATTGGATTATTATTCACCAATTAATGATTATTTAAGAGAATAAAACAAAAAATAGCAAAACTAATTGAAAAATATCTTTTATATTTTTCGCAGCTTCTATATGTTTGATAACAGTGTTACAAAAAGTTTGGGCAATTTTGGAAATTGTCTTCTATTTATTTTCATTTTTGTTAGAACAAATGCACAAAAATCATAAAAGTGGATCAAACTATTTAGAAACCCATTTTCGTATTTTTCCCAACTTAAGTGTATTTAATGGCGGAATTCTAAAAAGTTTCGGAATTTTTATCATCTGGATACTATTTTTCATGAAATTATATTGTTACGAAGGCTTAAAAATTTGGAAAAATAGGTAATCACATCAAAAATTCAAGGGAAATTTTTTGGAAGACTTCTACTGTATTTGGAACGAAAATGTAAAACTGGATGAATTTTGGAAACTGTTTAATAATATTTTTGGATTTTTAGGAGTTTTTAACACCTTTAAATGTGTTGAAATACATTCAATTAATATTACAAAAACCTGGAAAATAATAGCTAAAACTATCTTAATCACATGAGTCATAAAATATCACAATTTAAGAAAAATAGTTAACCATTTAATATAAAACCGATATTAGAACAAAATTTTGGCATTTCTCTATACGTAGTTATTAGTATATTAGCATTAGATTTCGACATAGAAACTCATTAGCGTGTGTTTGATGTCATAGGATCCCAGTAGTAAGGCGTTGGTGTATTCTGAGGCACCACTTGTAGCTACTTGAAACATTGTGAGTATTCATGACTCCCCCTATTTTCGGTTTTTATGTTTTCGGGTGGAAATGCATGTCTGAAAAGCTATTTATTATTCATTGTATTTAAAACTGAATTGTATCAAATTTGATTGTTATAATTTGCTATATTCTGTTATGTATGTCTATGCAACACGAAACATGAGAACTTATTATCTTAACTCCCTTCCCTTAGACTTTACTCCAACCATTAACTCTTTGAGCCAATGGTTATTATGGATAGCGCTATTAGGAACTGACAACTCCTCACTCGCCTGATTGTTGAGGTGCATGATACCATATAATCTATGGAACAATAAACGTAGATCTTTATAGGGCATCAGTCATAGGCTCGGTTGGGAACTCATTGTTTGCACATACACATACAAACTTGTTATTTATTATGATAAACTCATTTATCAATTATAGCAATCAAGTTTGTTACTCATTATATCAATGAGCTTTGTTTCTCATTATAGCAATGAACTTTGTTTCTCATTAAAGCAATGTACTTGTATTTATGGAAAGTCTTATACCAAATCTTGATTTTATAATCTTGTGAACTCACCAAATATTTTCATAGTTGACACTGGTTTTACATGTTTTTTCAGGAAATAATTAGTAAGTGGATATAAAGATCCATCATCATAGAGTATGCTGCATCGTGTGGAAGTTATTTTATGAAGTTATATTTTGAACAATGTCATTTTGGAAAACTTGTACTTTGTTTTGTTTAAATTATGGGTTGTAAACTTTTAACTATTGCTATGGTGAAGTATCTTTATCTTTTGCTATGAAACCTTTATCGTTGTCATATCTTACGTTTCCGCTTTAGTGGCGTGTGAGACGTATATACTTAGTTTATTAGGGTTTTCAACTAAGAAACCCTAATCCGACTGCTTAGGCCTTAAGCAGCCCATGGACCCTTCCAAAAGGCCGTTAGACGATTTCTATGTGGACCTCCATATTGAATTCGTTCATGCTTCCTTTATGGATCCAAAGCCCAACTTTGTAACCATCTTACCATTACTATATCAGTTCCCTTTATTTAATTAATCTCTTCTAGCCATAAAATTAATTCTTAATTAATTCTTGACTAATATTAATTAAACAATTGGATTTCTCTTTTAATATAATATTCTCATAATATATTAATAAATCATAATTAATCCTCTCCCTCCAAATTCATTCTACAAGTTGTTATGGTGAAGGCAACCTAAAAGGACCATGCTCATAATTGGGTCAAGTACACTTAGACACATAATCCAACAAGTGACCCTTCAACACTGTCAGCTAAAAAGACAATTTATTCATTTTTTTAGAATATGGATTAAGTACACATATTATCGGAGGGCAAGGTTATAATAGAGCTAGTAACTTGAGAGGTGCGTTTAATACCCTGAAGACCTTTATTATGAAAGAAGTGGAATCTGTACATTATATCCATTGTTTTGCTCACCAGTTACAGTTAGCACTTGTATTTGTTGCAAAGAATCACTCTGACATTAATGCTTTTTTTTTGGTTGATTTCTCGTTTGTTAAACTTGATTGGATCTTCTTATAAGCATCGGGACATGTTATGAGAGAAACAATCAACAATAGTAATGGAAGCATTAGCTGCAAGTTTCTTTTATTTTGTCAATTTGTTTTATGCTAATTGACATTGTTTTCTTGCTAATTTTTGTATATTATTTACTTCAATTTTAGGTGACATCCAAAGTGGTATAGATTTGAATCAAAAAGTTGGTATCAAATGACCAGGTGATGCTCATGGGGTTTGCATTATGGTTCACTAGTAAATATCAATAGAATATATTCTTTTAATTTGTGAAGTACTCAAAGACATTATAAAACATTATACTTCCCAATATCATAAAGTCGAAGCATATCATCTTTTAAAGTCATTACGAACATTTGATTTTATATTTTGCCTACACTTGATGGTTGATATCTTAGGGGTCACAAATGATTTGAATACCACATTACAAAAGAAAGACCAAAATATTGTAAATGTCATGCATCAAGTGAGGTCCTTTAAGAATAGACTAAAAAAATCTATAAAAAATGTGATTTTGAGATTTTGAGTATGCAAGCTCCATGATGCAATGGATTAAGTTGTCACAAAGATTCAAAGGTTAGCGACTAGAAAGTTTATTTATTTTCAAAACTTTCCTAATTAACTATTAACAAGTATTTATGTTTATCTTGCAGATTAATTGTTTGCACCACTACAAACTTGATATATTTGTTGCGGTCATAGATATGCAATTTCAGGAGCTCAACAATCGCATTATGCAATTTCAGGAGCTCATCAATCGCATTAATGAAGCAAACACAAAATTACTTATTTCGATGACTTCTATACGTCCAAGTAAGTCTATTCAAGCATTTAATGTGGAGGCACTACTAAAAATGGCTAAAATTTATCTTAACGAATTCCTAATGCCTGACCTTGGAACGTTTAGAGCAAATCTTCAAAACAATATTATGGATGTACATGACCTTAGAACACTTAGAGCAAATCTTCAAAACAATATTATGGATGTACGTGGAGATGAAAAGTTTAATAACCTGAAAAGAATTAAAAACTTGGTAAAAATGATGGTTGAAGCAAACAAGCATACCATATATCTAATGGTATATCTTCTACTAAAATTAGCATTGATTTTACCCATTGCAACATCAACCGTGGAACAAGCATTTTCCAACATACATATATATACATTTTTTCATACATACACATACATATACATTTTTTTTCATACATATTCACACATAATAATACTTTTTTTTAATACATATTCACACATACATATTTTCATTCACATTTTACATAATCATTCATATATTTCATCTAATTTCACATAACAAAATATACAAATTTCACAAACCAAAATATATACATTTCATATTCTCACACGCAACCCACTCTCTCTTTTCCAAACTCGGGCATTCAGTTCTAGGGTTCAATGGCACAGTTGCCCAAGGAAATGATTCAACTAATACTGATAAGGTTAGAGGTGAGGGATCTGATCCATTACAGGAGGGTTTCAAAGTTATGGAAATGTTTGAACTCTGAATAACAAAATGGGAAGCAGGAGAATTGCTATGTCTATTACGGGCTGTGGTGATTGGATATATGACCCTGATAAAATCTTAGTTGTCTATCTGTCGCACGCATCATCTACTTGGTTATTCAAATGGTTTGGGATGTGTTTCTCCCTCGTACCAAATTTTTACTTATCAATCCTGAAACCCGAGAAGTGAATAAACTGGAAAATCCCCAAATCCCTCAGGAGGGTAATATGATTTATGGTTTTGGTTATGATTCGTCCAAAGATGACTACAAGGTGGTATTAGGGTTTAGAAATGGTAGTAGTCAAACCTGTTTTCTAAAGTTTAATTTAAAATCCAACGTCTGGGAAGTTATTGGAGAAGTGAACTACACTTTTATCAGCGCACTTCATTGGGTTGTTTGTCATGGTTCGGCTTATCAGATGCCGCTAATTCTTTCTTTTGATTTGTCCAAGGATAAATTTGAGGAGATCCCACAACCTTGCAAACGGGCAGAGCATTTGGGGGACCATAAGCGGTTGTTTGTGCGTACTTGATGTGCCCTCAAACACCCTAAATGGTTATCCCTTTCACACTGCAAGGAGGATAAATCTAACAATCAGAAATGAAAACACAGTGGATTTTTATTGAATGTCCATTTTAACCTTGGACCAAAACTAAAACAAGCAGTATACTACAGGGACCAAATTTATTGATATTTAAGGAAAAAGCACGTCAAGAACTACAGATCAGATCTGCAACTTCCGTCAAGATAGCCATCATCTCCAACGTTATTCAGTAAGAATGGAACAAGATGTCAGATTTAGACAATACTGAAGCGTTACAAGATATAGCATAAATTGGAAAGTTGAGCATTAAAAATTTATTGGAATCAAAACAATTACATAAGAAAACGTTTTATATACGTACCTTTGAAAGGGTATGGTAGAGCGACCTCTGACAAACCCACAAAACCATTGAAATGCTATGAACACCTAACTGGCACCGATCTGATTCTACTAGACTGACAACAGATCAAGAAATAGTGTGAGTGACAGATCAAAAACATAAACTTTGAACCACCAAAGAAAGGACATAACAGCTTGAAGACACATGACTCAGAATGGTATAAATTAACGTATCATTTAACTTACATGTTTTTCGTTTTAAAATGTTGCGGATCTTTGCTAGTTTTTCGTTTGGATCTCGAAGCATGATAGAGAATTTGTTTTTGGAATCGACACAAAAAAGTGTTGATATCCATATATCCTCCTATGCCAGTAGTTGAATAGTTTGAAGATATAGAAAAACTATATCGCTTACATTTGGATGTGTGATTACTGGATCTAGATTCACAGGGTTGATTATGACAGCGGCTGTGAAATCGTATGAAAATGAAACTGAACATCTAATATATATAGTAAGAGAAGGGTGGGCGTCAACCCTAACCCTGATCTCTAACGATGGTGATTTGCATCAACCTCCCCTAAAACTGTACATATCGTCACACACAACCCAACCATTACGGAAAATGACACTTTTGTTGTTTATATTTTTAAATGGCCATAATACTCCTTACTATATCATAACTATTTTTTTTTTTTTTTTTATCTTTTTTATATTTTTTTCAAAAATACTTGATACATTTTACTTTCTTGCATAAGTGAGAATATGCATATTCATTGTTTAGCAACATGAAAGGGTGTAATTAGTACAAACATATTATAATGTTCAGCTACATAATTAATGGTTTCATGAAAAGTTAAAATTATGATTGTGTTTAATGAAATGGTATAATCTTGTATACTAACAATTATATTTATTTAAAAATTAAATTTCCTGAAGAAATTGATCTTAATAATGTATATAAGGTAAAATTGTACATATATTTATCGTTTTGCACCGCTCTCGAGTTAAACTCTCAATGTATAAGAAAGCTCAACGAGAAAGATTCAATTTTATGAAAGGTCAACGACATTTGAAGTATAGTTGGATTCCTTCTTTGTTTCATTGCGACTTTGCATTTAAAGTATAGTTGGATTCCTTCTTTGTTTCAATGCACTATGAGTTATAGAACATGTCAACGACATTTGAATGAATTTTGATAAGCATGCATGAAACATAACACACGCACAAACTTCCAATGGACGATTGATTCTTGAGGATCAAGTTTGTGGGTAAATATCCATTGATGGTCGATCATTAATTGCTAGAATGACATAGTATAGAATATTTATCAAAATATATTTGTAAAATTGGTTTAGGTTTAAAACCAATGTTGGATTTAATGAACTTACCAAAATTAACTATGGGTAAAGTGATAACTGTGTCAAACATCTCTTACACGAAATTGCTCCATCAATAACGCCACGAAACCCTGGACTCCTTGTCTGATACTATATACTCCACCCCTAACGTTCAATATTCCTCAATAAACAACAAAAGGGAAACAAAACAAGTGGTATTTAGGGGTAAAATGGCCATTTTTACCATCTTACTTTAGTACAATGCTATTCAACACAATTACTTATACTCACATTGTATGCAAAAAAACAAAAAAAAAGTAATGTATTTTGTCCGCCATCGTGTCTGTACAAGAATATAAGTACGATAAAATACATGAAAGGTTTATACTGTGTTAAAATAGTCCTATAGTATTTTATTTCTTTATATTTGGTCTTAGAGCCTTTTGGGTGTATGTGTGTGTGTATGTAGATATATATATATATATATATATATATATATATATATATATATGTATGTGTATATATATATATATATATATATATATGGGTGGTAAGTTTTAGATTTGTTGTCCATCACAACCATTACTAAACAAATATTGGTCATATCTCGAATAAATATAGTTCATCTGGCTATATTTACCCAAGATATGATTGCATAACTATCTAGGCTTAATTGCGATATCCAACTCTTTTTAAGAATTTTATTTGTTTCTTATTATGTCACTATTCCTAATATGAATGCATGTACGTATACTTTTCTAAACTTGGTATTTTAAAAGTATACTTTTAGTCAAAGGGTTTTAGCCCTATTGCATTTATAGTTGTATATCTTGTATGGTTTGATATACTAGTTCACTATAAACAAGTCTCTGATACCAATCGGTCACACCCCCAAACCAAAAAGATGGAAATGTCCGAGGGCGGATGATGACATTGTATAGTATCAAAACAGTTGAATATAAATGAATCATAGCAACCCAAACATCATACATTGAGAACACAATTTTACATTGTTTACATACATTGTTTGTTCAAAAGTAAACAACAAATAAATGAAAAGTAGAAATCCATGATGCAGCAACTCATGTTCTCAAAATGGTTTTGATATCTATTTACTGGTTTCCTGAGAATACAAGTGATTTTGAAAATTTTCAACAATTAAGTTGGTGAGTTCTTAAGCATTTTGTATGAAAAGGGTTGTAATTGTTTTGCATAAAATGGTTGGTGTACTTCCAGAAAAAAATTTTCCTTTTAAAACGAGTTGTATGTCTTATACCCAAGACAAAATAAAATGCATGTATTCCTTTTAAAACGAGTTGTATGTCTTATACCCAAGAAAATTTTTTTCCTTTTAAAACGAGTTGTATGTCTTATACCCAAGACAAAACAAAATAAAATGATTGTAGTCTTATAACACTAAGACAAAGCATGTATGTGAGGATGTACTGAAGGTTAGTATGTAGTTTTATCGTTTTGTAAAACTGATGAAGTGAAAGTTATGCTGTAAATAAAATGTTTTGTTAATCCCTATGAGTTATTATAACAATGCTCAATGTGATTGATATGCCTAAATGACATTCTTCATGCATCAAAATTGGTAGACATATGTCACCCTTGACTTGTCGATCTAACAGTAGCGAACAACTTAGGTGTGGGGTTGTCATTCTCGTATAGATTTATACACAACTATCTCGCTCTCCCTATAATGCAGAACTTAAAGTGTAGGCTAGGTAGGTACAGTGAAGAGAATGCCTTAAAAGAGCATCAACATATTTACATGAACTAGGATTGTTTTTTCTTGTAAAATGAAATAATTATATCTTTGGATAATTATAAATGTTTTTCTAAAATGAGAGTATGAATTTTGTAATTCCCAAACTATACCATTTATATTTTATCTTGTATGATTTGTTGAGAATATTTATATAATCTTTTGTATAAATATAAAGTTGTATTCTTGACTAGTTTAAAAATATGTAACCAAAACATCATATATTTTGGTGATCACCCACCATAATGGTAAATAGCTATAATATCTCTATTTTTACTATGAAAACTATTTTGTAGTAAACGCTTATCAAACTTGGTAGTTTTTCCAAATCATATTTTCCTATTGTCATTTGTATCATATAACGAGATACGTTTCTTTTGTTAACTTTACAATCAAAAATATCATATACCATGATTTTTCGTGTAAAAGTGGTGAAAACTATATTTTGTGCATATATCATTTTGTGTTCAAACAATAAGAATAAAACATGCTAATATCCATGAGACAATTAATTTTGTGTTGGGTCAAAATATTGGTTTATACTTTTCTTTCTAGACAACTGTATTTTTCTTTAGTGTAATAATGTTTGTAGCTTGTTGTGTAGCTTTGTACGACCGGACACGTGTGTACGGCCGTACACGGGTGTGTGGATGTACACTCGTGTACTGTTGGAAGTGCTATAAATTGAGGAGTGTACGGCTAGACAAAGAGAGAATCTTGTAGAAAGAGAAACTAGACAGACGAACTAATGTGTGTGTATGTGTGCGAATCTCTTGTAAGGAGCATAACTCATATCATCAATACACTAGATTCATCTTATTCTTCTTCTCCTTCTCTTCTATTTTGATCTGGCATCATCCTTTTGATTGGGATTCCGCACCATCAAACAGATCTAATTGATACTCAAGCAGATTGGGGACTTACAATAGGTATTAAAGCTTGGTTTGTATCAATCAATTTTGTCAAATATGGAGCTTATATGGTCTTATTTTTTGAAGGATTTTTGGTTTTTAGATAGATCTTAGCAAAATAAGGGGGGTTTGTTCTTTGCATTTTTCCTGAAAAGGAGTTTTTGATCGAGTTTTGGAGCAAAAAGGGTGAAAAACGTCGTTTTGCCCTAGATGTTGAAGGTGTACGACCGCATACCCACCCATGTACAAGCGCATACTAGGGATGACATTTAGAACCAGAATACCAAACCGGAACCGGAATCGGCCCAGATCCGGAACCGTTAGAACCGAAATATATAAAACCGGTTCCGGGTCTGGGTTTAAAAATTCGCTTTATCTGGGTTCCGGGTAATCCGGGTTTGGGTCCATCGGGTCCGGGTAAACCTGGTCTAAAAACCGGAACTGGAGTTAGGAACCGGAACCACTTTCAGGTCCGGAACCGGTTTTTGTAAAATGTTTAAAAGATGCATATCTCATTCATTTCAACTCTGATTGACATTTGATTTTTCGAACATATAGTTTAGAGTTTGTACATGATTTTAGACTATAAATTTGCCATTTTTTTATATTAATTGACTTCCCCAAAAGTCGATATATCAAAGTTGGAAGTTTTTAGTTTTTTAGTATTCGGTGAATGTTTTAAAACATGTATATCTAATTTGTTTGAAGTCGGATTGATATTTGGCTTTTTCCAACTTGTAGTTACAGTTTCTACATGAGTTTAGACTATAATTTTGTCAGATTTTTATTTAATATTTAATGATTTACTGTCCTTCAAAGTCGGGATATCAAAACTGAAAATTTTCTACTTTTTAGCTATTTGTTTTTGTACTTTGTATTTGTGAAAATGTTAACACATGCATATCTGATTCATTTAAAGTCGGATTGACATGCGGTTTTTTCGATAATGTATGTTAGAGTTTGGACATGATTTTAAACTATAATTTTGTTAATTTTGGTTTCATATTCAATGAGTTACAGTCCCCAAAGTTGGGATATCAATATGAAAATTTTCAAAGTTCAACCCACTAAGTGGTAAGTAATTACCAAAGAATTTCGGTTTCTTCGGTTCTAAGGCCACTTCAGCCGATTCAAACCTACCCATTTTGATGTTTTCGGGTTTCTCGGTTCTAGACCCACTTTACCTCGTAGCATACCCGGAATAGAACCGGAACTGATTCCTACGTACCGGTTCCGGGTTTACTGGGTCCGGGATTGGACCCACTTTCATCGTTACCGCACACCCACCTGTGTACGACCAGAAGTACAAGCTAACTTGTTCAACACAATTTTCATTCAACAACATTCAACATTCATCGTACATTTAAAAAGAAAGGAAGTTGGGGCTGCCGGGTATCGAGCTAAACAGCTTGGTTGTTTAAACTTTATACACTTTGCAGCTAGCAGAAAATAATACAAGAGAATTCGAGCATTGCAAGATTCGAACTCGGGTCTACTCGCAACTCAACCATTGCCACTTCCAACTCT